ACAATAAAAACCTTTATTTAAACTTCTGTATGCCCAATAGCTCCATAGACAAGGTGGCTTTTTTGGGAGGGGGGTGATTTGGGGGCTTCCCAGTGGAGCTCAGGGGTTGCACCCAGCATGGAATGCTTGGAGGCTGGCTGCTCCTGGTCACAGGTTTAATCTGGTGATGACCAGGAAACCTTAGTGAATGTTCTGCATTTGACTCCCTAAGGCAAGTGGTTCATTCTCTTAAAGCTTTGGTTTATCTCTCCTTGGATTTCTAACTCCTAAAAATCAAACAGTGGGGTGGGGCTGGAACAGTCATACAGTCGGGAGGCATTTGCCTTGCACCCAGACGATCTAGTTTCTATCCCTCGGACCTCATAAGGTCTCCTGAGCCCTGCCAGAAGTTATCCGTGAGCACAGACTCAGGAAAAAGTCCTGAACACTGCCAGGTGTGCCCCTTGCCGCCCCCCCCCCAAAAAAAGAACACCAAAAAAAATCCCCCTCAAACCAAAACTAAACAAGCAAACCAAAAAACCAAATATTTCACTCTTGAGTAATTTGTGAGGTGTTAGACAACTTCAAGTAGTTGTCTAACTAATTGACACACCCAAGTGTCAGGAAGACATGACAGTGTCTCTGGGACAGAGGAATACATGGGAGGGCCTGAAGATCACCACTTGAAACTGTGCTCTCTCTGCCTGTCCGACCTCCCTGAGCAGGGACCAGAGCAATAGAACAGTGGGTAGGGTACTTACCTTGCATGCTGCTGATCTGGGTTTGATCTCCAGCTCCCCATATGGTTAGCACAGAGACAGGAGCTAGCCCTGAGCATTCTCGGTGTGTCCACCCCCCCCCCCCAAAAAAAAAATCCAAACGAAAACAAAAAAAACATTGCTGAGCAAAAAAGTTCCAGATATGTTCAAAATAAAAAATTTATGCAATGCACTGAATGACAGCATTTGCATTTATTTAAAATTACTATTATTATAATTGGGCTGGAGCGATAGCACAGCGGGTAGGGCGTTCGCCTTACAAGCGGCCAACATGGCCAACCCGAGTTCGATTCCTCCGCCCCTCTCGGAGAGCCCGGCAAGCTACCGAGAGTATTCGATATGCCAGACACAGTAACAACAAAGTCTCCAATGGAGACGTTACTGGGCCCGCTCGAGCAAATCGACGATCAACGGGAGGGCCTTTACCTTTTACCTTTATTATTATAATTATTTGGTTTTGGGACTGCATCTGGTTGTGCTCAGGCCTTATCTACAGGTTATTTGGGATCAGGGATCACTTCTGGTGATGAGAATTGAACCAGGATTGACCAAGAGCAAGACAGGTGCCGTAACCCTTGTACTATCTCTCTGGGCCTATTTAGAATTATATTTTTTTAAGTTTTTTTTTAAACCACACCTAATCCATGTGGTTTAAAAGTATTAAAAGTGAGGGTATTAATCAGCCACACCTAATTACCTAATTAAATATAAATACAGTTATAAAGTCATTCAAATTACGTCTAAAAATTCTTTTGGGGTTGGCCAACATATCCTCACTTGTCTGCATTATTTTTCTTCCTGGTTAAAAAAAAACGTTTTGAAGCCAGACATTTTCTTGGGAGTCAAAGTAAAAATTTTACATTACTTTGGGGATGAGGCTGGGCAGGGAGGGAAACTGGGGACATTGGTGGCAGGAAATGTACACTGGTCAAGGGATGGGTGTTGAAACATTGTATGACTGAAACTTAATTATGAACAACTTTATAACTGTAAAAAAAAAACAACCAGAGTTTACATGTATCGTTTTATGTTCTGGGGTCACACAAGGTGGTGCTAACAGGCTCAAGCGGCGCAGAGGATGGAGCCGGGGTTCCAGTATGCAGAACCTGAGCTCTAGTCCTAGGCACTATGCCCTGGCCAAAAGTTTCTATTTAGATAATGTAACAGAATACAGTATAGTGCAGCAAACAGAACTTGATGATGCATTATTCACAGAATTCATAAAATCCAGAATTCATAAAATTCAGAAGTTTTGCATTTTAGCTGAAGACACAAAAGACTCAGCTGGCTGACATCAGGGTTGGTGGTGGTGCCTGTTGTTATCCTGTTGTTGAATATCAGCCACAAGTAGGCGGGTGCCCGGGAGGCATACCTTTAATGCACACTGGAAAACACTGTTGAGTAGACCGTGACTATTTTGCAGTCATCTAAGTTGTCTCAGCAAAATGGAGGTAGCAGGCATCATGTTTCTGGTCGTTTCAGCAATGTTGTGATTTTCTTTTCATAGGGGCACCGTGGCAGACTGTTTTCATTGAACTCCAGACACCAGGCAGCACTGGGCTGAGAAAAGCTCACCTTGGGCAAGACACGGAAACACTGGGAGGATGAAGATCGCATCTATCTGTGGCATTATTAGATATTAATGAAGTTGTAAAGAAGGCTGTTATTATATAAAAGTATAATAACATGCCTATAACAAGTAATTATCTTCTTTCATTACCTTTAAGAGCCTTATTAACATATGGTTGCTTTGAAGTTAGTCCTAGAAACCAGTCTGCTATAAAAGACTGATTTCTTTCTTTTTTTTTTTTCCTTTTTCTGGTTTTTGGGCCACACCTGGCTGTGCTTGGGGTCCACATGCACTTCCAGGCATTTAACCCATGTCTGCAGCATGAACCAAAGTGACTTATCCAATTTTCCTCCCACCCCCACCTCCAAGAGGCTGATTTCTTAAAGGTCCTTGCCAAAAAAAAAAAAAAAAAAAAAAGTAAATGGCGAAATAATGATGCTGACTCACTGAAAGGAATCCTTTTCTGATGTTACACTATAAATATAATTTTTTCTCCCTTCTCAATAAAGCTCGAAAAAAAAGATTGACTTCCCTGAGGCTGAGGGTGAGGTGGGGAGTGTGCTCTGGGGCAAAAGACAGAGGGGCCAACACTGTGACACCTCCCTGCCACACCTCCATCTCAGAAATATCACTTCAAACAGCTGTGTCTGTGTCCTGTGTCTTTCCCTCTGTCCTCTGAGCTCATCCTTTGGGACCAGACGCAGCTCTCGAGATCAGCGGGCTCACTCTTACAGCCAGATTTATCCTCCCAATTTTTTCTTTCTCTCTTTTGTGGGGGTTTGGTTTTGAGGCCACACCTGGTGGTGCTCAAGGCTTACCACTGGCTCTGTGCTCGGGGAATCAAGGAATTATGTGGGGTGTCAGGGATGGAAGCCTGGTGGCTGCATGCTAGGCAAGTGCCTTACTTGCTATATTGTCTCTGGTTTCTCTCAATGCCTGTTTCCGGTTCCCTTCCTCCAAGATTTGAGTAGGGGGTCCCTTTCATTTGCTTGCTCCATGGCCATCTGCTGTTTACTTAAGTCACCCTCAACTTACAGAGGGGGCACAGAGAGGAAGGCTCAGTTTCTCATTGCCAGCTGCTGTAAGCAGCTTCATTTTGGTTGTTCCCATACTACATTTAAACATTCCTGTAAACTCCTGGGTTCTGAGACTGGACAAGTTTATAATTTCCCAAGACTATACACTTTGCTCCAGACCTTGGGCTCGAGACCTTGAGCAGATGGTAAAATCTGTAACCTAAAAGGTCTTCAATAAATAGACAATCCCCACCAGCCTAAATGGGGATGAAAGATGTTATTCTTATAAGGTCCTAAATTAGGGACTGGAGCGATAATATAGCGGGTAGGTCTTTTGCCTTGCACATGGCTGACCCGGGTTCAATCCTTGGCATCCCATATGGTCCCCCAAGCACCGCCAGGTTTAATTCCTCAGTGCAGAGCCAGGAGTAACCCCTGAGCATTGCTGGGTGTCACCCAAAAAGCAAAAGGAAAAAAAAACCAAAAAAAACATAAGGCCCTAAATTAACTAGACATCTTTGGGAGACAAGTTGGGAATCTCTGATACTTTGATAAGAAACAGGGAGACCCAGTTTTCCTATTAAAAAAAAAAAAACCAAAAAACTCAAACCACCATACTTAATCTTAACTCCTCCCCTCCTGGGGAGTTTCTTTCTCTTCTACTTTCCAATAAACATTTCTATTTTATAACTCGGAGTCTGAGCATCTTTATTACTTTAATATTATCATCTCTTAAAATATTGAAGAACCTAAAAAATCCTGGACCAATACAGAAATTGGCAGTCACTGCTCCTTGATCATCATGGCCAGGGATATGGACATTCCCTGGTCAGTTGCTAACCTCCTCTGCACCTCACAACTCGTATTTTTGGGGTTTTATATGTGTCAGGTGGAGTGCTTTGAGTGTGTGATCTTGTTGAGCCAGCAATAGGTATAAGTACAGTCAAAAAGCAGCTCAGAAAGGGTAAGTGCTTTGTCTAAGGCCACAAATACAAGAAGAGTTGCCATTTTAGGTTTGTTTGACTCCAAATTCTTCTGAGGCAGTTGTAAATTTTGAAGAATTTACAAGGTTGAGCACAATATTGAGCAAAATAACATACTAAGTACTTAGCAGATAATAGCTCTTACTATTTGAACTTGCCCAGCATTTAGGGAAGGAATATTAACTTCCCCAAAGCAGAGGTATCCAAACTTATTTAGAGCCCTGTCTAACCCCCCAGGCTTGAATAGGCCAGTGGCCCCAAGTGTTGCCATTACCCACCTTGGGAAACACTGTATCCTTAGTCCAATCAAGACCCAGGGGGCTTGTTTTATTTTGTGGCTATACCTGGTGCTGCTTAGGGGCTACTCCTGACCCTGTGCTCAGGTTCGCTGTGTGCAGTGCTCAGGTGACACACCGTGCTAGGGAAAACACCCAGTCCTTCCACATGCAAAGCATTATGCTCCAGCACACTGAACTATCTTGCCGGCTTTATACTGGCTTCTGGAGTATGCCCAGAGCACCACTCATATTCCGCGGTGACTGACAGGCGTTGTTTCCCACTCTGTGCAGAAGAGATGGTTTGTTTCTCACCCTACATTGGAGGGGTACAGAACTAGATGGGCCACAAGGAACAGAAGTGGCTTTTTGATGAGCTACACAGCAAACACCAAACACCTAAATAAACGTCCTCTTTATTTTACCAAATATAATTTATCAGTTATGTTGACATTTGTCAATTCAGTTATATTAACTATAAATAATTCTCTTAAGACACAGTTCTGTAACTTTTTAAGGATACAGGAGTAAACCAATGTTGTTCCTTACATGCAGTTTGTGTCATCAGGGGAAAGGAACCCTTGCAGGAAAGTCAAGCTCACTTTCCTTCCTGCTCAGCCTGGTCTTCCCTCTCTCATCGCATCAGGCCCGGGGCATGCTGACCCTCCCAGCCTTTCAGAAAAAGGAGGATGCTTAGGAGTCCCCCAAGGTAGGCCTGAATAAACTCCAGAGAAAACAGAGGGGTGAAGGATGGGGCAGGGACCACTGGAGACCACATGACACAGGACTTGGTTTTGGTGTGTACAGGAGTATGTGTGCAAACGTGTTTAGAGACAAAAGATGGAAGGAGGCCTCGAGGAAGAGCCGAGATGAGCCCATGCTGATGTTGGACTCTGTTTGACACAATTCCAAAAAAATAATCACTACGATTCCTTCCAATCCTAAGGGTCTAGATTCCAGAAGGTGGTCTGGGTAGAAAAGGAGGAAAGGAAAAGCAATTCTCTGGAGGTAGGCGCTACTTCCTGGGGTTGGCATGGTGTTACTGGGTGGGTCAGTGCCAAATCACCCTTGGAAGTGTGTGTGGGGGGCTTTAGGATACAGTGGGGAGGGTTGAGGTCAGTAAAAGCCTGCACCCCTATACCTAGATCTGTACCTGTGGGAGTGTGGAGAGATTTCCAGTTTATCATGATGTGGGGAAGATGTGGAGGAGCCAAAGTTTCCCCAACTTTGCTCAAGGCCGAGAAGGTGTCCAGCCTGCCTGTTCCGAGTCCTCTCGGGGGTGGCTGGTGAGGCAAGGGAGAGGGAAGGAGAGGCTGAGGGACAGGAATGCAGTGGGGGTGGGATGGGTGGGAGCTGACCGAGGGAGAACCTGGCTGGGTGCTGCAGGTGAGAAAAGGTCTCTGCCTTTTATGTGGGGACTGTGAGGTCAGAGCTGCTTTTTTTTTTTCCCCACTGGGACTCAGTGCCCCATACACAGTCACTAAATACTGCTCTATGACCAAGCCTCGGAAGCCTGTGTATTTGTTGAATGAATGAATGAACGATGAGGGTCTGTGAGCAAAGCAAGAAGACTAGGGAGGAAAGCTAACCCCTAAGGCATGACAAAGTGTGACCTGAAGACATGACTGTGTCTACGGTGACCACACATTTGGCCTCAGGAGAAGCCACAGCAGTGAAATACCCTGGGTGCTTTAACCTCTCAGCATTCTGCACCTCCCACATCCCAAATCTCAGAAGATAATCTGACAAGTTCTGGGGAAAGGAGTGCTTAAGAGATGCAGGATCAATCTCTGGCCGGTCTGGGAGGACATGGGCAACAGAGAGCAGGCCACTGTGTCAGGCGGGAAACTCAGAGGGAGGCCTGGAGTGCTGGCTGTGCAGCTGGGGCTAGGGCACGGCCTCCTTCCGTGAGCCAGATCACCTCACACTGGAGCAAAAGAGAGTGCAAGAAGAGGCTCAGGGTATACAGGGCCAGGGCTTTGAGTTGGTCCATATCTAGAAAAAACCAAAATGGGTGACTCTATAGGGTACGGGATGGAGAGAGTTATTCCTCTGTCCAGCCAAAAAAGCAACACAAAATTTAGAAACCAGAGCCTGTTGATAAAGGTTTCTCCTGAGGGCTGAGACGGAGGTTGGTGGAGCTAAAGCCCTGCCACCCACCTGGAGGGCTCCTCCAGGAAAGTGCACTTGGTGATTGTCTCAAAAGTCTGCTAGTCTCGCTTCTCTCGGCATCTGTCCTTCCTGAAGTCTTGCTCTATAGACCTGGCTCAATGTATAAACATTCCCATTGAAAATAATGAGAATCTGGTATCAAAGTGAAGTCCTAGAAAGAGGTGGAGAGTGGAGTGGAGGGCACGGAGGGAACCCAGGAAGTATTCCAAAGAGAAAGTGCGGAGAGGTGGGGAGGAGGCTGTGAGCAAGTTAGTCCCCCACATCCGTGTCTCGGTCCCCAATGAGCCAGAGCACATGGAAGCTGAGGGCTAGGAGGCCCGTGCCGAGCAGGTCCCCCAGCGCTGTCAAGTAGGGGATGGAGAAGTTGTCCGGGTCCAGGCCACGGCCCCACATCCAGTTCACCATCCAGTCTGCGATGTACAGGAGAATCAGCACCTGAGGGGAGGAAGGCCCGGGCTGTAGTCACCCCCTCTCTCCAGGGGGAGCCAGAGGCCACAGCACTGCGCCAGGCTTGGTGGCCCCGGGTGGCCCCAGTCCTCAGTGTGGCAGCTCACCTCCTGCCCAGCACTGCTTCCCGTCCCCCAGTGACCATTCGCGCACTTCTAAAGCATGAGAGCTCTTTAGGAAAGAAGGTTCTCTGCAGCGTCTGGGGTTCCCTATCCCTAGTCGGGTCTGCTGCTAAATTTATCAAACCAGGGGCTTCCCAAAGGGAACGCTCCTTGGTGTCAGAATTCAGCCTTCTGCCTCTGATTCTGGGTCATTTTATCCGAGGACGGGTCACTCTAATTCCTACCATGCTGGCCTCCCCAGGCGCTTGTCAGGGGCGCGGGGCGGGGCGTGCTTCTCATTAGGGATTTCTTCGCTGTGCAGAGTGGAATAAGGACACTGTTTGAGGCTGCTGCCAGCACAGTTGTCTGAGTAACAGCCGATTGTCCCAAGCTGGCTTCTTCCTGACCCTTTCCATTCTGCTGGTGTGGGCTCAACAAGCGCAGTTTATTTTAACATTGGTTCTAGAAAAGTAGAGCGACAAATAAGCCAGCTAAATATAAAGCTGACTGTGTATAGATAATTTGGATCAGCTATTGCTTTTTCGGTGCTCTTGCTTCCCTTCCGTTGCTAGAGATAATGAAGAGTGATCTAGATTAGAATGTAGGCCATTTGCTCGTGGGCCCAGAATCAGTAGTGGGACAGCTGTCGGGAGCCTGTGGAAGGCAGAATCTCAGGTCCCACTCGGGAGCTCCGTGGCGGCAAGCATCACTGGAACAACCTGCACATTCATTGGTAGGTTTTGTTCTTGGACAACTCCCAACAGGGCTTTGGGGCCTGGGCTACTCCTAGCAGTGGACCTGAGGCTGGTGGCCACCAGAACTATACCTGGCAGCATGTGGCTGGAGAGCATGTGGTGCCAGGGATCAAGCCCAGGGCCTCCCACAGACAACATACGACATGAGGCATGTGCTCTACTTCTTGAGCAGATACCTGGTCCCATCACATGTACTTTTTGTTTTTAGGTTGTAGGTCACACTTGGTGAAGCTTCTTCTAGGTCAATACTTGGGGGACCATATGGGGTGAGGGATCAAAGCCAAGGCTACTGCATACAAAGCATACAATATGAGCCAGCTCCTCGGCCCTCTCATATACTTTATTGGGGATCACATCCAGCAGTGCTCAGTGGCCTGTGCTTGGGAGTAACCCCTGGCAGTGCTCAGGACACCAAATGTGGAGCTGGGGATCAAGTACCTTAATCCTGGTACTATTTCTGGTTCTTTCACATGCACTTTTAAGTTGACTCTGTGGCACTGAAAAGGCACTTGATCTGAATACTAGATCAGGCAGAGTACATTTTGTAAATACCAGCGTGACTTCTAACATTTGGGATCTCCAAATTACAATATCTCTGTGAAAACACATTGTTTCTAATGGTAAAGTGGCAACAACCTTCATTTCTAAGGTTTTCCTCTTGACTGTACTTTGCAAATACAGTGTACAAATTCTGCCCAGAGGCGCTCAGATGTATGAGCTAGAATAGATTTAGTCAATCTATGTTTCCTGTCTTGTTAAAGGAGCCAAAGTGACCGTCCTAGCCCCCTCGCCATCCTGGAATACCTGTGCCCAGCTGCCGTGTGTGCCTTGGCCTGGCTGAAAGCCCCATTCGGTCCATCTTTCTAGCAGTGGCAGAAGTGGCCCAAATAGAAAGTGTTCAGACACTTGGGCAGCTCTCGGAGTGCAGGGAATGGAAGCAGGCACTGAGCCCCGGGAAGGGGAAGTAGTAATTTGGTGTCTCCTGTGGGGATTCGGCTCAGCCAGCCTTGCCAGGATTTCCTAACAAACAACCTCTTCTGAAGCAACGGATGGGACTGAAGGAATGTTTACCAACCAGGATAGCATCTGTTGGTCCAATGCAAGAGCAAACAGCCGTGAACAAAACAGACTGCAGAAGGGTCTCAAAAATACAAAAATTGTGAAGTGAAAAAAGCAAGGCAGGGACGTGACTCAGTGGTAATGCATATGCCTTGTATGTGTGAGGCCCTGGATTCAATGCCTGACACCACACACACACACACACACACACACACACACACACACACACACACACTCACACACTCCTTATTTGTATGGTGCAATAGACAATAGCACAATGGACAGGATTACGGGTGGATCTGACACTTTTTAAATCCGTGAAGCCTTTTATTTAAATAAAATTTCTTGAGGATGACCCATAGGCAAAATAGCTGAGTGGAGTTCTGTGGCCAGGCCAGCAGGATTGAGGCCAAGTGCCCAGCTAAGCTCCCTGCTGAGAACCTTCCCCTCAGCTCCATCCTCTCACCTGCCCAAGGACCACTGCCGAGCAAGTTCCGGAGCAGGCTGGTTAGAGAGGTGGGCCTCGGTCCCTGCAGGCTGCCCCAGCCCCTCCTCATGCCCTGCCCAGGCGCCGTACCTGGAGTAGTGCCGCGGTCATGTAGAAGATGATGAAGATGAGCGTGAGCGTGGTGTGGCCGCCCTGCATGCAGCTGATGGTGTAGAGGAACACCAGGTGTCCTGGGACCACGAGCAGGAAGAGCACGCGGGCCGAGCGAGAATTCACATCTGGCAGCAGCAGAGAGAGGGGTGAGGAGGCCCCCAGAAGCCCTCTACGTCAGCCAGGGTGCAACTCACCCTCCCACACCCTTCTGCCGTGTCCTGGGACAGCACCACCTTCAGTCTGGCTCTCCCCCAACAGCAGATGCAGCCCAGCAGAGAAGGCTCCACTCTGCACATCTCAGCCCGGCTATTCTTTTATTTTATTGTTTATAATTCTGGCTTTGGGCCATATTCAGAAGGGCTCAGTTACTCCTGGCTCGGTGCTCATTCCCAGCTGTGCTTGGGAGACCCTGTGGTGCTGGGGGTTGATCCTGGGCTCCTGCCTGCAAAACCTTGCTCCAGCAGCCCTCTGAGCCCCCTCCTGGACCCCTGGGGTGACCGCTCACTCCTTCCCCCCCAGGGCTGGGTCTCGCCATTACCAGGACTGAAGAAGGTGGCACAGGGACTGGGGCAGCGGCGGGGCGCCTGCCCGGAGTTCTCCCCCGGCATCCCGTTCATGTGGAGGAAGGTGGAGATGCGGCTGGCCTGCACCGCCACCAGGTTGCCCCCAACACCTGTGGAGACACACAGGACCGGGGAAGGAGAAACGGGAAGGGCATGAGCCTCTTTTCCTCTGTGGGACCCCTGCCCTCGGTCTTCCTTGAGGCTTTGCCAGGGCAAGACCCAATCACTGATCCCCAGGAGTGAGACAGTAAAAAGGACGACGGCCCTTTCCAGGAAGACCTCCAGGCTCTGCCCCTCCTCCACTCCCTGGGGACGTGGCTGGCTGAGTGTGTGGGAAGGACTTGGCAGACGTGCAGACCCCAAGGCTTGACCTCTCTCCCTGGTAGTCAGAGGAGCACCTGGTTTCCCAAACAGCCAGGGTTGGGTGGAGGTACTGCTTCCAGGCAGTCTCTGCGCAACTCGGAGTACTCAGGTACCCGTGTGTGCCCACGCTGCTTCTTCTCCCTGTGCTGCCTATTCCTCAGTCCCCCTCATTCTGCTGGGGGTCCTCTAAGGCTGACTCTGAGAATGGGACCATCCTGACCAATGGCCAGCACCAGGAGGTGCTCAGAAAGATCCTTTGCTTCCTGGTTCTGGCACCGCTGGGATCATGTATGATCTCTGTTCTAGGACCCGCAGATGAGCATCTGGTTGCTGATCTCTGGTTGCTGCCTCCACCTCGCACCTCTGTGAAAAGCCCCTTCTTTCAAGTCCTCAAGTCTTCCTGCCTGGAACAACCCTCTGCCCCAAAGCCTCCCTTTCATCCCCAGCAGTGCCAAGACCTCACCATTAATCACAGGTGTGAAGACAGCCATGCCCGCAAAGTTGGGGTCGGAGACAGTCTTGTCCAAGATGAGGCCTCCCACACTGCACAGACACAGAGACAAAACAACACAGGAGCCCATGAAGGGAGGGTCCAGCTCCGCGAGGGACAGCCAGGCCCGTGTGGCCCCAGCAAGGCAGTGGGTAGCTCCTAGTGACCCCTTCTTCCAGTCCTTTTCTCCCTTGCTCCTGACATGCCTCCTGGCTCCTGACTTGGCCCAGAACCCATAATGGTCTGTATCACCCTGGCAGGGGTACAGGACCAGCTAAGGGTCCTGCATCTACCCCCAAGCTGGCCGGGAGCACCCTCAGAAAGGCCTGGGGAGCACTCTGCTTCCAGTACTGGTGTTGAGCTTGGCTTGGGGACTGCGGCTCTCATGCAGACACTGCTCTGATGAAGCCTGGCCGGGCCCCTCCAGCCAGAGTTCAATCCCCCAGGCCATTGTGCTCGGTCAAGTGTGGCTGGATGTAAGTCTATGAGCTGTGCATCAGCTGAGGCCCACTCCCCTCGGGAATGAGTATGAGTCTAAACTGGGCCCAAGGGCTGTCACAGGATAAAGCAGAGTGGAGAGAGAAGGACGCTGCAGCCCCGGTGACAGTTTCTGCCGAGTCCAGCTGGGAACTTTTTGGTTCCATATATCCTGATTTCCCGTGAAACCCACTCCGGATGGTTTCCTGTCACGTTCAAAAGAAGGACATGTGGCATGCACATGTTTTTTTTTTTAATTTTATAAGTCTTTCATATTTTTCACTGAGCTGATTCAAAGGTACTTGATTTTCTGAGGCACAATTATAAATGGGATTTTTTAAATATCTTTTTTTCCTATTTCAATATTTGTATCTAGGAAAGCCATGGATGTTTGTGTATTAATTAAATCTATTGTTTCTAGGAGACTTTTTTTTGTAGTCTTTAGGTTTTTCTCAGTATCATGTCATCTTCAAGTAATAAAAACTTGACTTCTTCCTTTCCTAGCTGAATACCCTGGATATCTTTTTCTTGCCTAACTGCTATGACATGAACTTCCAGTCTTTGACTATACTGAGGAAATTTCCTTCAATTTCTATTTTGTTGAGAGTTTTTTTTTATCATGAATGGGTGCTGAATCTTGTCAAATATTTTCTCAGCATCTCAGCATCCTCCCTCTCTTCAGGACCTGAGAGGAAGCCTGGGGCAGGGCAGAGAGGGCAGGGCCGGGGCTGTGCCTACCTGCTGATGGCCATGGCGATGATGACAGGCTCCCAGCCCGAGTACAGCACCTCCCTGGTGGCTGGACTCCGGCGGGCCAGCACCACCCAGACAGGCAGCAGGGCCACGAAGAAGGCGCACACCAGCGGGTAGATGTACTGCCAGTTTTCTGAGGGAGGCAGAGAGCAGAGGAGGAGGATAATCATGGGTCCTGCTCTCAGCTGCCCCAACCCCCCAAACTCAGCCTGCAGATGTCCCAACAGCAACAGCATGTGACAGTCCTGTGAACCTACTGCCCCCTGGATGCTAACAGTGTGCCCAGGGGCAGGGGGGCCCGCGGGACTTCTCAGGAGCACAGACCAGATTCACGGCTGCCTGCTGGTTCCGCAAGCCTGACAGAACTCTTTCCCTTCCCCTGCAGTCTGCAAGAAGGTGCCATTTTTTTCTGCCTGCTTTCCATCCCACCCCTCCAAGGAGAGGAAGTGTCCATGGGAACAGGAATCGATTTTGTAGCCTCTTTATCTCCTGCCCCGATGGCCTATATTCTGAAAGGGCTCTGAATGAAGCACTCTGCCTCTCTCAGGCCAGGAGTTAGCACAACCCGCCTTCTAACCAAAGAGTTAAGAACATGGAAGTAGGGGCCGGAGCAATACTACAGTGGGTAGGGCAGCTGACTGGGTTCGATCCCCGGCATCCCATATGGTTCACTGAGTACCACCAAGAGTGATCCTGAGTGTAGAGCCAGGGGCAACCCTCCTGAGCATCACCAGGTGTGGCCCCCAAACAGAAAGAAAGAAAGAAAGAAAGAAAGAAAGAAAGAAAGGAAGGAAGGGAAATAATCCTGACCATTGACCAAACCTCTACCATCTTTTCAAGTGCCCCCAGAAGTGGTTCCTGGCCACACCCGTATGTGTGTGTGTGTGTGTGTGTGTGTGTGTGTGTGGTGGGGAAGGGGGTGCTCAGCTTTTACCCTGCTCCTGGTAGAGTCCCCAGCTGATGCCTGAGAGCAGTGCCAAGGTGATGAGGTCACCCAGGCTGGCAGCAATGGGTGTGGCCACATTGTCTGGGTTGATGCCAATCTTCCGAGAGCCGATGATGACTCCAATCATGATCATACCTGTGGAGGAAGTGAGCAGCCGGGAAGGTGAGATACCAGGCTTGGTGGTCACCCCTGGGGAGCCCCTCCTATGCCCCTGGCCCTCCCTTCCTTTCCTTACCCAGAACCAAAGAGGCGATGAAGGCTGTGGCCACACTGCTGGCGCAGAGCAGGAAGGCATGGGGGATGCTGAAGTGGCCATCGGGGATCCAACCAAAGATGACAGCTGCGATGGAAGCCAGGAAGCCCACCACCGTGGCCTGCACCTGCAGAGGGGGCTGCTGACCGGGGGAGCCTCGAGCAGAACGCGGCTTAGCTGCATCCTGAAGCCCCCAGCCAGCCCTGGCACTGAGGGCAGGCCCAAGGGCAAGGGGCCTGGGCAGGGGCCCAGGAAACAATACTGGTGAATGAGGGTGCCCGGAGACCGGCAAGAGGCACAACAGGGACTGAAGAGTAAGACACAGCCTGGGGCACTTGTCCGGGACCCCTGTGCAGCCTTGCAGGGAGAGGAGTCACAGGGGGCCGGCACCCATGAGCTCTTCTCTCTGGCTCTGTGGTTCCCAAACCCCCGACCCCATCACAGGAAGGTGATGCTGATGTGGAACGTGCAGGATGTCGGGGGGTCTTCACGGGGCAAGTGGGGCTGGCCTCCTGGTCCCCACTCTTACCTGGATGAGGGCCATGTTCCCAGTGATCATCCGCCAGAGCTCCTTGGGCGTGTCCATGTGACCGATGTTGGCCTGGAGAGGGAGGGCAAGGGCTGCAGCTCCCTCATGAGGACTCTGCCTGGCCTAAGCTCTGTGGCCGGACAGGTCCCTCAGGAAACGGAAGCAGGGTTGGGGGTGCCGAGTGGAAGGAACAAGAGGCTTGAGCCCCACAGCTGGGTGGGGGCAGGGCAGGGGGCCCCTAGGGCAGCTGTCTTCTCCCTCTCTCTCAGGACGGCTGCTGAGCAGAGGGAAAGTCGAGCCTCAAACCAGGTCAGAATGACTCTGGCGTGAAGGAAAGGTTAGTAGCAGGTGTGGGACTGGGCAGGCGGGCGAATGCGGGAAGGATTAAGGGGGCAGTGGGGTGGGCCATGAGTAGGGCCAAGTGGGGGAGGGCAAGCTGGCTGCCTCTTCTCTCCACTGCCTTCTCGGAACTTGTGTTAGGCAAGGACATTCCTGCCACCTGCCGCCCTGATCCTCAGGGTCCCATTGCCTCCGCCTCCCGCCCTGGACAGGTCCATTCGCATCCAGGCTGATCCAGGGCCGTGGCAGGAAGGCGGAGTGGTTCCTTCCCACTGAGCGACGGGTAGAGCAGGCGGCCGTGGAGGACAGGAGAAGGGGAGAGGGCGGGAAAGGCCTGGCTCTGCTCCTGCCCAGCTGCAGAGCGGGGCTGGAGATCAGAGGAGGCCCCCATCTGTGCAGATAGGGGGACCAGCATGGCGCTGGCCTGTCAAAGCTGCACAAACAGTCACGAGGCGGCTTGCGAAGCGGGAGGTGGGGCAGCAGTCCAGGAACGGCGGGGACATCCAGAGAGCAAGCCTGGGAACCGCGCTGGGCAGGGAGCCCCGGCCCAGAGCAGGACCGCGGCCTGGGCCATCCGTCCACTTGCCCACCACAGTCCTGCACTCCAGGCTGGGCGCTGAGAAAGAAGGTCTGCAGGGACTGTCCTGCCCGGCCCACTCCTGCCCCCCCGTGCCCAGCTGCCATACTCACTGCAGTGGACAGCCTCGATGCCAGGGTCATCTCCAGGTTCCCCTTCAGCCCCAGCAACGCAGGCACCAGGATGAAGACCTCCGTCACCTTCTGGAAGACTTCCCAGTGCTACATGGTGAAAAGAAAACTGGGAATTTTTGTGGGGAAGGGACCAGGATCGCATAGGATCAGGGTGTCGGGAAGGAAATGGAATCCTCAGGACAGAGCACACCGCCCTGCTTCGTGCTGTCCACTTCCAGGTCAGGACCAAGTCAGAGCAGCTCTTCCAACCCTGAGACCCTGGCCTGGCTCTGGCGCCGAGGCCAAGAGAGGATGGTGAGCAATGAAGCCAGGCTGGCTTAGGCTCTGGACTGCTGTGTGATCCCCCCACAAAGCACAATCCCCAAACCCTTTGCCTTAGTTCCGCTTCTCTGCGGCCTCAGCCTTGGGTGGTGTTGTCTCAGCTGTTGTGAGCCGGGCTGCATGGGGCTGGGCTGTGGACATGAGGGTTTGTTTGGTTTCTATCTCCAAGGGTTCTGGGCCTCGGCCACAGAACAGGCTCTGAATGAAGGCCGTGGGCCCAAGCCTCTGTGCTTCTGTGTGAGAACAGTTTTATTCCTCCCTGGCCCCTCTCCCCACAGCCCTTCCACAGCTGCTTAGCTAGGTCAGGCAGGCGGACCCCTGCAGGAAGAGCACTGGACTGGGTTCCAGACTTGAGCCCGAGATCCTTCAGACAGCAGCCTGTGAAGGACAGACTGTGCTGGGCCCAGCTTTATCCTGGACTAAGTCAAACAGGGCCTCCAGCTCTCCTGTGGGGTCTATGGTCTCCTCAGACAACTGCAGCACTGAGATACAGCCAAGTTGTAAATCACACTAATGATCAACCAGCACCTCAGACCAATTAGGATGGCCACCTCTAGGAAAAACTCAGACAGTAACAAGTGTTGGAGAGGACATGGAGAAAGTGTACAATCTCTTTGTGTGTGGTTGGTGGGAAAGTAAAATTGTACATCTATGATGGACAACAATATGATGGTCCCTCAAGAAATGATGAATCAAACTATTCTATGATTCTCATTTCTGTGAAGACTGCCAAGAGGGACTCAAACTGATGTGGAACAGACACATGGGCACTGAAGTTCACTGAAGCACTGTTTACAACAGTCAAGAAGTAGAAGTGGCAGGTTCCTTTCAAAGGATGCATGAGTAAGAAAAATACAATCAACACCTACAATGGACTATCATTCGCCGGAATCAGGGAGGGGATCCCTGTCACTTGCTGTAGCGGGGCCCACGGTGCTCACCTGCCAGGTTCACATATGCTCAGTGGAGAAAAGTCAGTCACACAAAGATATGACAACTACATATCTGAAGTATCTAAAGGAGTCACTTTCACAGAACGGCGGTTGCCAGGGAGTAAGAAGGTGGGAAAGGGGTGTTAACGTTTAATGGGGGCGGAATTTTGGTTTGATAAGAAGGAAAAGTTCTGGAAATCCATTTTGCAACAATATAAATATACTTAAGACCACTGAGTTGTATGCTTAAAAAGAGTTTCACTCATAACATTAGCTGTGGTTGTAAAAAAAAAAAGTGATACTGGCTAATTTTATGGTACGTGGTCAGGAGACCCAGCGTGATCATTTCCGGCAAGTCCTGGACATCTGGGACAGACAGCTCAATGTTCAGGTTTGGTGGTATGTGGGACCATGGGGGCCACACCCAGCAGTGCCCAGGAGGTCATGCAGCGTTGGGGAACAAACTTGGGTTTTGCACATGCAAAGCTGTGCTTCAGTCCTGTGAGCTACTGCCCAAGCCCTGCAATATGTGTGTTTGCCAGAAACACACAAAACACAAACAATGGCACAGAGGGGGCCGGGAGAGGGACAGAGCCAGGAAGGGGGAACTGGAGGTCAGAGGAGGCAAACACTTCTGTGTGTGTGTGTGTGTGTGTGTGTGTGTGTGTGTGTGTGTGTAAGGGGGGGAGGGTAGGGAGTCCTAAAGACTATGGGGAAGGGCTGATCAGGTCACCAGGACAAGATGCTCCCCTTGCCTGAGCCCTGGGCCCCTCGCCCAGGCCAAGGCATTTTCACAGGGAAATGCCCTCTGAAGGCTTGGGACTGTGGGAGGGGGGACCCCCCACTCCCATAACTGCTGAGCTTTCAGGGGCCCACAGGAAGAACCGTTCCTTTCCAAACATTGGCGGGATGTGAATCCCTTCTCAGGCCGGGCCCCGCAGAGACAAGGCAGGCCCAGCCAGCCCTCACTGCCCTGTGGAACTCGGGACTGTTACTCTTGGACATGAGCGTGCCTCCCCCGGTTTCCAGCTCCCCGCAGGCCCTGCTCTCTCTGCTTCGCCCCCACCTTCCTTGCCTAAACTGGACAAACAGCCCCTGAGAGGACAAGAATTCTCTCCCGCCCTCTCCCCTCAGCATGGCGGGCTAAAGCTATAGGCCCTCCACCACAGCACCTGAGCCACCAGCCCTGTGTGTGTGTGTGTGTGTGTGTGTGTGTGTGTGTGTGTGTGTGTGTGCGTGCTGACAGTGAGGAAGTCCAGAAGGAAACGCTCCCAAATAAGCAAAGCATCTTGTCTGAATTGTTCATGACGCAGGCAGTGCCAGGACTTAAAACCAGGGCCTGCCACATGCAAGGCAAGCGTCCAACCACCCGCAGCCCCTAACGTTTCTGAATTGTTTGTAAGGATTCTGTTCACCTTCATGACTGATTAAGGGAAAGCTGTGCACAGTTCCGCTGAGTCCCTCTGGCTGCCCCTCTCAGCAGCCTCCATCCCCCCCGGCCACCGAGAATGCTCTCCTTTGAATGCCCTTTTACTGTTACAAGGGCTGGAGAGGAAGGGTGTTAGCAGAGACGGTATGAAAGAAATAGGCCAGGGAGGAAGGAGCCCCAAGGACAGTTTCTACGCAAGGCTCACCAACCTGCACAGAAGGCTGGAGACGCTACTTGAGCTCTCCCCTAAGCCAGAAGTAGCTGGCGGGTGTGTGTGTGGGGGGTGGTCCTGAAGAAGGAGGTGGGCAGAACATGCAGGAACACCCAGTGGGTGCTCCTAGCTCCTGCGGCTGAATTCAGGCCCGTCCTGTTCATCCTGGCTGGGAGTGCCTGCCCCCAGGTCCAACCCGTGGGCCAAGCTGCCAGCCAAGCCCTCCCCGACGCCTTCCCTTCCTGCTCAGCAGGCCGGGGCTGGAACAGGGCCTGTTCCAGGAGGCCCTCCCCCACTTGGCAGCTACAGATCCGCACCACTGTTTCAACAGGCAGCGCCTCTTCCCTTTCCTTCTCCTCCTCGCGGGGGCTGGGAGTGAGGCTCACTGGGCTGAATACGAAGGGTGGGAGAGATGAGCCTGCTTCCCCTCACTCAGAAATACTACTGACTCAGAGCTGCACCCCAACTCTCAAACGCAGCTGCCTCTGGTCCCTTTTTCCAGTTCTCTCACAGGGGTCTTCCATCCCTCACCTGCTCGGGCTCACAAGCCCTCCTCCCCCCCCCCCCCCCCCAGCCTACCTTCCAGGGTTCTGCCTAAGCCCTCTTCCCTTCCAGAGCTCCATGCCAGGAAGGGGGCACTCCTGGCGCTCAGACAGACCAGACTCCCAGAGAGAGAAGGCATTTGAGTCCCAGTAGAAGGGCCTTTACCGGGGGCCAGAGCGATAGTACAGAGGGTAGGGCATTTACCCTGCACACTGCCGACCTGGGTTCGATCCCCGGCATCCCATATGGTCCCCCGAGCACCGCCAGGAGTGATTCCTGAGTGCATGAGCCAGTAATAACTCCTGAGCATCGCTGGGTGTGACCCCAAAAGACACCCCCCTCAAAAAAGAAGGGCATTCACCCAAGGGAGAAGCTGGGGGGCTGGACTAGAGTCATCTTGGGGGTGATGACAGTTGGTAGAGTGGAAGTCGAGCTCACCCCTCATGCCCCTGTCCCAGCTTCCTAAGGGTCCTTGTGGACACACGGGCTGGTCAGAGAACAAGTTTGCACATCCTGCATAGAAATCCAGTATCCTCAGGCTCATGGAGGTGAGACGCCTCTGTCCCACCCCCTTCCTCAATCCCCAAGGAGGCGCCCTTCAAGGCAGAGGAACCGAGAGAAGGGGATCCTTGCCCCAGGATGTGATGGGGCGTTCCGGAGGGCCTAGGATGCCATCTGTCTTAGCACAGCTGGGGCTCCTCAGGAGGACGGGCACCATCTCTTGGAACCCGCAAGCTCACAGAGGATGACTGAGAAAGGCTGAGCAAAGCCCCATGACTGCCCGAGGCTAAACTGGGAGGCAGGGCACCAGCCTGCGCAGCGCGGCCTGGTCTCTGCTCAGCCCCAACGCCAAGCCTGTCCTGCTCTCTGGGCCCTGAGCCGTGGGCTGGGGAGAGCTAGGGCACATGCGGCTCAGCTCACACTGTCCTGCTTGATCCCATCCACCAGCCTTATCTTAGCACAGAGGCTGGCGCGCAAAGGGAGTGAGGACAGGGCCAGATAAGGGCAGACAAAAGGGGCCTCTAGGAAGAGAGGCTCTGCCACAGCCATGGGTAAAGACGGGGCCCTGGGGACATCTGAACCAAATGGACTTTTGTTCTTCTGAGGCACTCGGGGACACCCACCCCAGCCCTTCTCTCTCAGGCAAGCCCAGACTGTCTGCTGAAGGCCATCTGTGCCTGGAAAGGGGGATGCACAGGGGACCCCAGGAAATGGTTCCACTCTCAGTCACTGTTTGGCACCCCTGGATGTGGTGTGAGATTCCCCCTGGTCCTTATGCACCCCACTCCCCGCTGAGGTTTCACTGCAGCCTTTTGCAGGGATGGCAGGGAGGCTGTGGGTGAGCCCCAGAAGAATGAGCCAGGGTGGCCACATCAGCTGGGCCCTGCCCAGGGGTCACACCGATGGGCCTCAAGAGCAAAAAAACAAAAGCAGTGGCTAAAAATAAACAAAACAACAACAACACACACAACCAAAAAGCAAAACACCCAATGTCTATGGACACAGTGGGTAGGCTCAGTGGACTCCCACGGTCTCAGGGGTGTGTGTGTGTGTGTGTGTGTGTGTGTGTGTGTGTGTGTGTGGCAGGAGGGGCAAAGCTTGTTGTGCTCACTTTAGAACGTAACTGCAACTGTTTCAGACTACAGTCCACTCTGTTCTGCAGGAGAGGAAAAGGGCAGCCGAGCCTCCCAAATCTGATGAACCACGGGCACAACGCAGGCCAGGGAGCCCAACAAGAAGCCCCAGTCTGCTGGCTAGGGACAGGTCACTCGGGACCTCCATGAAATCTGACCACTCGGGGTATGGGAAAGACCATCACCTGTTCCATTTTCATCCAGAAGATAAAGCCACCCTCTTGGGGCTCCCTAGGGACCCTCTGCAGGCACCAAGCCAGAACTCACAAACTCTGAAAACCAAGGCCAGAGGACAGCGACGAAAGAGGCCGGGCTGCAGCTCCCCAGTCTCCTTTCCCCCCTTCTCACTGGCCTGGGAGGAGGGACAGCCATGGGGGAGGGGCCCAGAGCTGGGCTTCCTGGGTCCAGGCTAATGTCCCAGCCTCCATGAAGGACAGTGCCCATGGAAACAGATGAGGGAGAGGGGAACCAGCATGAGGCGAGCACAAGGCTCCATCCTCTTCCCGCTAATTAAGATCAAGGTGTGATTTCAGGACTCACATCAAAGCAGCCGGGAAGAGTGATGGAGCCACCTAGAGCCAACTGTTCTTAGTGCCCTGGCTGGGGGCCTCGGGAGGCCCAGCAGTGGATTAGCATCACACGCATCATGTGTATGGTTGGCTTGGCACGGGGGAGGGGAGGTTGATCTCTATGTGCTCTTGGGAGATTTCATGGTCACTGGGGAGTCCCAGGGGGACCAAGGCCAGTGCTCTTCCAGCCTCCGAATATATCTGAGTACTTAGGACACAGCCCAACACTCAGCAGGAATTTGATACATGTGACGATTAACTGAGATGAACTTAGCACCTACAGAAAGCTCTGCGTGCCTCACTTTGCTTCTAAACCTTTTATCTGGAAACAAGACTTGAACTCTCTCTTGGCTCCGAAGGTTCTTGGGGAAGTCCTAATGCATGCTCCAGAGAGTACCTGTGACTCAGTTTCCAGGTCCTGCCAATTCTTACCCTCTGTTCTACCCAGTTTTCTCACAAAGAACCTTCTTTGTCTAGGGCAGGGTGATGAAAAACAGGTAAGGAGCAAGGGCCAGGCCAGATCTGGTTACATTTGTCCCCATTTATGTCACGTAATTAGCACTTTCTCGTGATACCAACTACCCCAAACCATGTGTGGAACGTCATGTGCCCACCCTAATTCCCCAAAGGGAACACACCAAGGTTATGAACTGATAAGCAACACTGAACGCCTTTAAGTACATTCCCATTTCATCTGAGACCCTCTTGGAAGCCAGACAAATTCCTGCCCAGCAGGGGAATGGAGGGGAGACTTGAAACTGAGCTTTCCACTCTGGGTCTCCTTGAAACCCCAAGTGAAAGGAACATCAAGTGTAAAGAGATCACTCCTCTAAAAGTCTCCCACTGGGCTGGCCTTGCCAGGAATGCCCAGGAAGGATGGCAAGCAACCCTGTTCCATCTCTCAAGTCCCAAGACTGCACTTTGGAACCCGTTCTCTTTCGGTTAAGCAACACTGCCTTGGGCAATGGGGCTTCCTCCAGGCTTCTGGAGAAAGCAGACCCAGAAGAAACTGAGGACTTGACCCAGAGACAAGACAGTATTCTAGGAAGCAGCAGCTGCTTCTCACGGGGGCTGGACAGACAGCTCCAAGAGGACAGGGGAGGACCGGGCGTGAAGGCCGGTGCAACTTCCCCCCCTGCCCCCCACCTACCTGCACAATGTCCAGCACCATGCCGGCGGCCACCGTCCCGAAGCCGGCCAGGAGGAAGGGAAACAGCACTTGCAGCCCAATGGAAAAGGAGGTCTCCTTGAGTGGGGAGGGGGGCGCTGGGCCCCGGTCGGTGCTGACATCGTCACTTTCATTGCTCTGGCTCCCGTTCTCCAACAGGGCGTCCTCCTCCCGGATCCCCTTGGCATTGGCCCGAGATTCAATCACCACCACCTCTACCCCAGCCCCATCGGGCCCCAGGAACTCAGAGGTCCCTGCCAGGGGCTCTCTGCCCGGGCCGTCGGGAGAGCAGGCTGAGGTGGCGGGGCCAGTCCCGTTCAGCTGGTGGACGTCCTTTGGCTCTGGCTTAGAGGACATGACGGGAAGCCTGCTCTTTTCTTCTCCTTGCCCTCTTTCTTCTCTCTAGCTTGGGAAGGATTTAGTCTTGGGGTGAACCCAGGCTGGGGTGCCGTGGGGCCTCTTCCCACGGCTCACAGCTCCTCCCAGGCGCTGCCGAAGCTGAGTGAGCAACAGGCAGCCCCATCAAGCAGGGAGCCGCGAGCCGGAGGGGAACAGCAGGTTCTCCCAGACGCCGCAGCCGGCCACTAGGGGTGCAGACGCCTGACTGCAGCCGGCCACTCTGAGCAGGGGGAACTGGATCCGGATCTGGCCTCTTCTTTGGTTCTCAGCTGCCGGCTCCTCAGAGCAGCGGGCCCCCCAGAGCCGGAGGGCACAGCCAAGTGTGGAGTGCCCTTGAAGGTGGCCCTTCTTTCCCAAGAAAGCAGCCTGGGTCCAACTGTTCAAAAGGCAGCACCACGTCGGGGCTGCGGCCCTTCACTCCGTCTCGGACTGGCTTCCGCTGGCTGCCCACAGCTCCTCAGGCTCTGCTCATCCCAGGCCAGTGCCTGCCGCCTTTCTCCTTCCCTCCGGAGGTTTCCTTCCTTCCTGGGAAGACTGTGCACTGCTCCCAATCCCTGGTGCTTGAAGTGAGGAGCGTCTGCGTGGAACACCTGATGTGGGAAGGAGGAAGACAAGGAGACAATATGAGGGTGAGGCAGGGCTAGCGAGTCCTGGAATTCTCCCCGCTGCAGATGGGAAGAGTTTGCGCTTGCCTCTGTCTTTCCATTAACCTGACCCACGAGGATGTCGCTCGAGTCGTGGCTCCGTGACAGAGCACTTACTTGTCTCACGCATGTAAGGCTCTGTGTTTGCACCTCGGCACTGCCAAACACAAACCCCCTCCCCCCTTAAAGGGAATGTTATAATTACTCATTCTGGCACTGCAACATGTAGGGGGCCTGCTCTACCCCCCTCCAGAGTCTCGACTAGTCTTCCCCATCTCACCCCCAACCGAGGATCACCACTGGCCCAAAACAGTTAGATGGGGGCCAGTCGGGGACTGGGAAGATGCCCACGGTGCCATCTTCTCAGTACCAAGGCTGGGTAGGGATGTCCTGGGGGAAAAATCTTTTCTCATTTTAATGTATTTACTTAGTCTGGAGGCGGTCCCTCGTGCTGCTCAGGATCAAAACTGAACCTCTTACATGCAAAGCAAGTGTACTATCACTTTGAGTTGTCTCATGGTCCTCGAGCCCTTCTTAAATCATAAATGACCACAAAGAATCAGTGGGGCTGGCCATGTATCTCAGAAGCAGAGCACCTGCCTTGCATGTGTGAGGCCCTAGGCTTGATCCTGACACCATTCTAAAAAACACACACACACACACACACACACACAAAAACAATCCAAAGTTGTTTAGGGGAGGTCTTGCCTTGAGCCAGTTACAAATTCAGTCCTATGCTCCTTGCCACACAGGCCTTACTGCATTAGGAACTGCTGACACTCACCATCTGGGAGACAGATGCTGAGGGAAGGCCCCCCCCAGACCCCCAAATGCCCTAGCCCCTGAGGAAAAATAAAACCAGACAAACAGGACTCCCTGAGCAAATGGGCAGCGGCCGGAGCAAGGCCAAGAGCCAGCGGCCTACCCAGGTCTGCCCTTGAGAGACAACAGTGTTACTAAAAGCTCAGATGCTGACTTGGATCCTGGCCTCCGGCTGCGGCTCTCCCCCTGCTTTTAGGCTTTGGGAGCTTGTCGGGCAGGACAAGGGAGCTATATCCTACTGAGGGGGAAGAGAGTAAAAGTGCTGGTTATTATGCGTGCATTTCAGTTTCCTAGGCTTGTCCCGTGTCCCAGGATTACTGAGAGTTGGACTTAGTGGAATTCTTAAAACACGAGAGCAGGAAAAAAAAAGCAGCAGCTAAAAAGAAACAAAACAACAACAACACACATACAACCCAAAAGCAAAACCCCCAAATCAAACAAGGCACAAAAGCCAAAATGCACTTGCTAGAACAGCAACTCTCTGTTCCCCCAACCGCACCTCCCCCCCCCCCCCCACTTGTCACTTAAAGAATCCCCAAGCTTGATCTTGCCTGATTCCTTGTCACCAAAACAACTCTTACAAGTGAAAATAAATGTGAGGAGACTTCACCGGGGTAAGATGAACAAGTCCCCAAGTGTTCCAAACACTAGAGTCGACTCCAGTTCGCAAAGGCTGCACCAAAGCTCAGGAACCACCCACGGGAATTGTTTCTCTTCCTACCCGCGGTAACACCACCACCACCACTGCGTCCTCCCATCTCCTTCACACAGCTCGGCTTCTTCCAAAGGTCCCCACTAGGGACCAGAGGAAACTTCTGAGCAAGGCAGTCCAATGCCCCTTCCGGGCACACGGATCTGGGTCGCCTAAGACCTTGTCTCTCTCTTCCTTTCTTCCGGGCAGGCACCTACCCTGCAAGGGGCTGGAGGGACAGAAGCCAGACTTGTCCCTGCTTTTTTTTTCCAGTAAAGACTTACACACACACACACACACACACACACACACACACACACACACACACAAAGAAAGAAAGCACACACACACACACACACACACACACACACACACAGAAAGAAAGAAAGAGCGATCCCGGATGCCCCGAGGTGGGAGCCTCCAAGCAGGGCTACAGTATCCCCGCGCCAGAACCCGGAGGCACTGGGCGGCCTCCCCGCCAGCCTCCCGGATCCAGATCCGCAAATGCGCAGCGCGCCAGGACACCCGCCCTCCGCCACTCCCTGGCCCGGACCCCGCGGACTAACCTGCCCCTCGCTCGGGGGGAAGGGGGGCGCCTGGCGAGAGGCAGCAGGAGCCCGTGGTCTCGGGGGGTACAGGGCTCCCCCTCTTCTCATCACTCCTCCTCCTCGACAGTCCTCCTCGGCCCCCGGCGAGTCCCTCCCACCCTTAGCCAAGGAGAGCGTCCAGCCGCGACCCCCGGCTCGCTACATTTCGCCTCCACGTTACAGCGAGGCCGCCGCTAGGCTTCCCCCCAGGAGGAGGTGGCCGGGGAGGGCGGGCTATATCGCCTCGGGTCCGCGCGCGCGCGCGGGTGGGGGGGGACGGCGGAGGGGGAGGGGGAGGCCGGACAGCAGACCGTGGGGTCGCGCTCACTCGCCGCGCCCCCACCCCCGCGATCGCTCTGGGCCCGCGCACTAAGGGCCTGACCGGTTGGCTGCTCGTGGCAAACACGATCTGGGGCAAGGCTGGTGGCACCTCCTCCCCATCATCTAAAATAGATTCCGGACGGACAAGCACGACAGCCAATCGGCATGGGCGAGGGGCGGGCCCCAGCGCGGGTTGGCCACTCTCCTGCGCCGGGGCGGAGGGGGCGGGGCGCGAGGGGAAAGGCCGGGTGCGGAGGGCGGGTCCCGGGGAGCGGCGGACGCGGTGCCCGCGCGCGGGTCCCAGAGCCCGTCGGCCGGAGGACCTGGTGCCCCGCGCGCGCCGCGAGGGGCTCGTCCGCCCTACGTTTCTGCTCCGCGTGCCGGAGGGTTACCTCGAGCCGCTGGCTCCCTAGAAGACCCCCGAAAGCCCGCGGCGGGGTCGCCTGCCAGCGCCTCCCCCACGGCCCGAAGCCCGTCCGTTCCAGCCGCTTTCCCGCGTGGCTCCCGCGGGCTGCGGACACGGCTGCTCTTGGCGTGCTGAGCGCCTGCTAAGCGCACGGCCTATCCCGGGCGGGTCGGGCCTTCTTTTTATATACCCGCGGGGGCCGGGGAGGACGGCGGTGGGCGGGCGGGCTGAGGGGCCGCGAGGTCACTGCTCGCTGCTGGGGGCCCGCGCGCACCGCACCCCCGGGGCTGGGCTGGAGGGGAGCCCGGCTTCCTCTGTCCACTGCCGCCGCCGCCCGAGTGGGCAGCCTCCAGCCCACTTGGAAATCCAACTTTCCCTGACGCACCTTGTGTCATCAAAGGCGAGTGTCGGGGCTCGCCTCTTGTCGCTTCCTCCCGGGGATTCTCAGCGGACACTCTGTACCAGTTGTTTGGGGGGATGTTTTTGTGCAAGAAATGTGTGACACCGTCCCACTCCCCGAAGAACCCTCCTTTTCCCCTCCTGTCAATGGAACCTGTGACCAAGGGTTCCTTCCTGTTCCCTTCCTCCCGGGAAGTGACCCACAGAGCCCTGGATGGACAGGAGTTGGGTGTTGGGGAGTGTAGTGGTATGGGGGGGGGGCGCGGAATTGAACAGTGTTGTGTTTGACAGCCCTTCTCTCCTGAGACACACGCAAATTCGAACCTGAGCCAGGCGGGACCTTGGCAAGCAACCCTGCACTCTCGCTGGACCTTTCCATATCAACCCTTGTGCGTAGCTGATGGGATGTTTTTACCTGGAGGCCTATCCCTTATGGTAGGGTCTAGTAGAGGAAGTGTTGGGGGGGTCTTAGCACCTCAGTTTTGCTTGCAAACACTGCGTGTTTCTGCCTGCAATCCGAAGTAACTCCTAGACCAGGAAACACTGGGCTGCTCCCCGTGTGTCCGTGGTAGAAGAGGGGTGTGTAGTGGGTGACAAATTTGGCCTGATGTATCCTGAGACTTTGTAGGGGCAGGAGGCCATTCCTACTTGCCCCGGATTCAGCAGTCTGTACCCTTCCCATGAAACTATCTTGCCCTGCTTGGCCACTCACATGTAAAGTCTTGATTCCTCTTCTATTCCCTTCCCACCTTCCTTATTTTGGGACCTCATCTGGGTGTTCTGGTGGGCAATTTCTGGCTATGGGGAGTCACTACCTGCAGTGCTAGGGACTCTGGGGGATCAAACTGAGGTCTCCCACATGCAAAATATGTGCTATAATCCTTGAGCCATCTCCTTAGCTCCTCTCCTTTTATTTTTCAATCACCGCAAACAGTTCCACCCCTCCTATGAAAATTATTATTATGTTTTAATAGAAGTATAAGGGCTGGGGAGATAGTACAGTAGGTAGGTTGCTTGACTTAACATGTGCCCAACAATAGTTCCATCCCTGGCACCCGAGTAGAAATGAACCCTGAGTACAAAACCAGGAGAAGGAATAAAGGGGGAGAGAGAGGGAGGGAAGGAGGAGAGAGAAAGAAAGAAAGGAAGGAAGGAAGGAAGAAAGGAAGGAAAAGAGGAAGAAAGGAAGGAGGATGGGAGGGAGAAAGAGGAAGAAGAAAGAAAGGGAGGAGAAAGAAAAAGGAAGGAAGGAAAGAAGAAAGGAAGGAAGAAAATTAAAGTATACTGGACACATGGGAAAGTGCACAGAACCTAAATGTATAGGTAGACAAATTCTGATACCTCATCATTATCCAGATAAATTATGATAGAATGTTTCTAGCACCCAAGTGTTCCTCATTGCCTATTCCAGTCAATACGCCATCTCTGTTCCCAGAAGTAACCTCTATTAATGAACAACACAAACTCATTTTGTCTATACTTGAACTTTAAGTCATGGGAACCATTCAGTGAGTATTTTGTGTCTGACTTTTGTGACGCAGGATTATTGACGAAACTGGTTGATATTATAGGAGTAGCTCCTTCCATTTCATTGCCATCTAATGTACCACTAAATGACTATAAGGGTATTTACTTATCTGTTCTATTGATGGACCTTTGGGTTGTTCCCAGTTTGGGCTTCTAAGGAATAAGCTATTATAGTGCTTTTGTTTGTGTCCTTTGTTATGGTTCTGTGTTTAGTGATGTAAATACTACAAAATAATTTTCCAATGTGCCCATTGTAATTGATACCAGTCAATTGCTCAAAATCTTCATCAACATTTGGTATTGTCAATTTTAAAATATTTCTAACATCCCAGCCATTCTGATGGATATTGTAATGGTATCTCATTATAGTTTAAATTTGTATTTCCCTGATAATCCTGATATCTTTTAATATATTTATTTCCCATTGAATGTTCAAGCATTTTGTTCTTTTTCTATTTGACTTTCTGTTATACTGTTTGATTGGAGTTCTTTCTTTGAAATTTAAGCCTTTCATTGGTTATGGGTATTGCAAATGTTTCTATAGGTAAACCCACAGAAACATTTGGGTTTTGTGTGTGTGTGGGGGGGTTGCTCTTCTGAAGCCTTTGGGCCCTGCCTTTAAGCTCTAGGCTATAGGTCTATTTGATCACTAGTGTATTTCAAGTTGCTGGCACTCAGTAGTACTTAGTACCTGGGTTGCGTGATGGGGAGGGAAGAATGGACTCAACCAGGTAATTTGCCCCATGTTCCATCAACACCAAGAATCAGGTTTTTCTCCTGACACAGCCAGCTGTGACCTTGAGAAGGGAAAGACATTCAGCCCCTTCAAAAAGAGCAGATATAGCTTTACTATGTGAAAAATCAAGCAAGAATGTAGAGAGGAGGCCACATATGAAAAGACAGAAACCAGTAGTAGGTAACCAGGGATCCAGAATCTTTAGAAAGAGACCCTAAATTGGGTGGAGGTGCCTAGGAGACAGAAGGGTTTCCGAATAAGGCAAGAATCTCCAGATTCTGGGCTGGAGCAATAGTACAGTAGGCAGGACATTTGCCTTGCACGTGGCTAAACCAGGTTCGCTTCCCAGCATCCTATATGGTCCCTCGAGCACCATCAGGAGTAATTTCTGAGTGCAGGAGTAACCCCTGAGCATTGCTGGGTGTAACCCAAAAGCCAAAAAAAAAAAAAAGGAAGAAGGAAAAAAATCTCTGAAGTCATAGGGTGCCAGGGATCAAACCTCATGCAAGGCGCTGCACCTGAGGTACCTCTCTTCTCCAGAGGAGGAAGGAGGTATGTGGACACCTTGGTGGCAGTCTTGCTCTCTCAGTAGGCCTTTTTCAGATCTGGTAACTAACTTCCCCATGACCTGTAAAGTCCGTCTGGAAATGAAAGACCAGTAAGTCACTGCCAGCCCTTTCTTCTGAAAACCTTTTCTCAGGCTCATTGCTTTCTACAATTACGTTGTCACTGGCTTTCTCCTCCCTCCCTCAGTTATAGCCGATACTAGGAGACAGAAGGGTTTCCGAATAAGGCAAGAATCTCCAGATTCTGGGCTGGAGTCAAGAAGTCCTTTACCAGGGGCTGGAGTGACAGCACAGCGGGTAGGGTGTTTGCCTTGCACACAGCTGACCCGGGTTCGATTCCCAGCATCCCATATGGTCCCCTGAGCACCACCAGGAGTAGTTCCTGAATGCAGAGCCAGGAGTAACCCCTGTGCATCGCCGGGTTGTGACCCAAAAAGAAAAAAAAAAGTCCTTCACCAGCTTCCATTACTGCAGGAGAGAGTTTCCCTGAAAAACCCAGAGGCACAGTGTTTCTCCCTAGATCTCTCCAAAAGACAATGAGCTGGTAATAGTTCCAGATGTTTCATTTAGAGTGAGCCTGGCGGAGTCATGTAGTTGAAGATGGGTTAGATGACATCATGAAATGGGATGTGGTGCAAGACCCACATTTGCACTTAGATTAGATTATTGGTGGGGTGAGGAGTTCATGGGAATGGGGAGGCATTGAATACTCCAGGGCCCTGTGAGGCTGTGACGTGCTTCTGCGGGTTAGCCTTCTTCTGCTTCCCTGGGTACGTTTGCTACATGTGGTCTCTGGGCCCAGATCTTCCAGACCTGGTGACTTGTCTCCAGAGGACAGTTGCTGCCCACTCCTGTCTCTTCTGTGGACTCCCTGTGTGCTCCTCTGAAGCATCTCGACATTCCATGGCCCTTTCTTGCTAGATTCCTTAGGGTCCTTGAGAGAGGGGTGTGCACTGGTGATGGGTGTGATGTTGGAATTATGTGCATGAGAAACCATTGTTAACAGCATTGTAAGCCACCAAGCTCAATTTAGAAAAAACAACCCTAGATTCCTATACCAGCATGACAGTCACAAGACTAGTTTGACATGGCTGGAAACTATTCCATCTTTTGTTTCTGGTAGGGAACAGTACCCCCTCCCATTTTTCCCCTTGTTGTAGTTCCTCCCCTGCTATCTCTCTCTCAGAGGTCAGCTTCTTTCCTGCTGCCCAGAGCTGAGGTGATATCCCCTTCCGGCTGCCTTCAGTTCTCGGAGGATGTGGTGATGGGGGTGGGGTGGGGAAGTGTGGCCACCTGTTGCTCTCACCACCCC